GGAGCAGAGACTCGCTATGTCAAATTCCTGGCCCATAAAATTCATGTGCACAATACAATTTTTCCCTTAAGCTTTGGGATCATTTGTTAAACAGCACTAACAACCTCTAAATGTTGGGGATGTTTGTTATGTGGCAGCAGCTAACTGATACAGCCCTCTCTAGAGACAAAGGACCAGCGATGACCTTACACCTCTGACTCACCCAAGTCTTATCCATTCCACCTCCCAAATCTCTCCACTCTATATCCTCCTTTCCAAGACCACTATTCCTGCCCAGATCTAAGTCTCATTGTCTCTCTTTTCATCTGTCCCTCCAACCAGCCTGCTTTAACATGCAGGGTAACAACTGGCTACTCTGTTTTTAAAATATTCAAGCACTTCCTTACTGGTTGGTAACTAAATGCTGCCCCAACCCCCAGAACCTCGCCTGCCCTCGATACCCCCATGACCCAGCACAGCCGGGAGCCTGCAGGTCCCTCCCTTGGACCATGCTGGACACTGCCTAACTGGTATCCATGCTGCTTGTCATGAATTTTAAATATCACCACTGCTGCATCCAGCCATTCACCCACTGATGGGCAAGGGTCACCCAGTCCCTCCTGTATTCCTGGTCCAGGCTAGGTGCTGAGATACAGCTGTGGGCAAACAGAGATATACCTTCACAGAGGTAAGGCCACAGGTAAAGATGCCAATGAAACTACACAGAGATGACCATATAATGCCCACCTCCTACTACTAGCTAGGGTCTCACTGGCCTCTGCTCACCCACGCCAGCCCCCATCTCATCGGCCACCAGCCCAACCTGCCCAGCCACAAGACCAACCCCCGGCTGAGGAAACTTGCTCAGCTAGCTGGAGTCTGGAAGTCCGGGCATTGGAGGTGGTGCAGGGCTGTGCCCTCTGCCCTTGGTCACCACCACTTCCTGCTTTGTCAGTTCTTCGTCACCATGACCAAGGTTTGCCCAGGGCTCACCAAGGGCCAGGTGCTGTTCTCAGAGCTCCATCCTACCTCATTTCAGTCTCAACAACAATCCTCCACGGCAGGTGCCCGTATTCTCGTACCCATTTCACAGCTGAGGAAACTGAGGCTGCGAAAAGGATTAGGTAACTTGCCCAAGGTTTGCCCAGGTAGCAGGATGGCAGAGCTGGGATTCGAATCCTGGCTGACGGGCTCCTGAGATCATGGGAACTACACAGAGGTGGCTGCCTGGCTGGCTATCCCCTATCCACCCTGCCATGGGTATACTTCCTGAAATGTCTTCATAGGCCCCCCACCTTCCTCCAGGCACCCACTCAGGTGCTCTTCCCCGACACTTTCCTGAAACACCACACAGAAGTCATAGCACTTTCCTCACACCCGGGTCACACACATAGACGGAGTGATTCCCCGACGGGCTTTTCACGGTGGACTCAACATACCATAATGCCGAGAAGTCATGCTCTTAGGATACATTTTTTTTTTTTTTTTTGACCATACCACACAGCTTGTAAGATGTTTTAGTTCCCCGACCGGGGATGGAACCCAGGCCCTCAGCAGCGAGAGTGCAAGAGTTCTAATCACTGAACCACCAGAGAATTCCCTTAGGATGCATTTCTAAGGCATCTGTAGTGTACTGAATGGTGGTCCCCCTAAAAAGATATGTCCACGACCTCAAATCTGTGAAGGTGGCCTTCTTGATTTGGGAAGAAAAGGCTCTTTGCTTCTGTAACTAAGTGAAGGATCTCAAGGTGAGATCATCCTAAATTATCTATGAACCCTGAATCCAACAACCAAAGACTTTTTTTTTTTTTTGGCTACGTCACACAGCATTCAGGATCTTAGTTCCCTAACCTGGGACCGAACCTGTGCCCCCTGCCGTGGAAGCATAGAGTCCTAATCACTGACCCATCAGGGAATTCCTGACCAGTGACCTTTTAACAGACAAGATACAAAAAGAGAATGTCACATGAAGGTGGACATAGAGATTAGTGATGCAGCCTCAAGCCCCAGACCACCCGGAGCCACCAGAAACAGGAAAAGACAAAGAAGGATTCTTCCCCAGAGCCTTAAGAGAGAGCATGACTCTGCCCTGATACCCCTGCCAATATCTTGAATTTGAACATCTGCCCTCCAGAACGTGAGAATAAATTTCTGTTATTCTGACTTGTTGGACTGTGAGGACAGCTGAGTGCCAAAAAATTGATACTTTTGAACTATGGTGTTGGAGAAGACTCTTGAGAGTCCCTTGGACTGCAAGGAGATCCAACCAGTCNAGAGTAGCCCCTGCTCTCCGCAACCAGAGGAAAACCCACGCAGCGGTGAAGACCCAGCGTGGCCAAATAAATAAAATTATTTTTAAAAAAATAGATTTCAGAACCTGAAGGTTAGGGTCGGGGGACTGAAAATTTGCATTTCTAACAAGCTCCCACGTGATGTTGATCCTGCTGGTCCCAGGAGAACAACTGCTCTAGACCTTGGGTGTCTTCAGTTCTCCTTCTGGGGCTCTTGCTCTCCTATAGAACACAAGCTACCGGTTTCGGGCCCAGGCCCCCGACAAAGTGACCTCACAGGGTCCTCTCCGAGGCTCAGGAGGATCCAACAGCCAGTCAGTCTGACATCTTGTTAAACAGAACTCAAACTTCGTTCCATTCAGCAATGTACCTTCCCAAGAGAATGACTCACAATGAGCGCAGGTCTTTTTCCCCTTTGCCAGAAACTTCCTTTCACAGCCTCGTTTACAGCTAAGTATGGACATGGGAAAGAGTTTTACGTTTGGATTTTTTAAAAAAGCCTTATATTGGGAAGATTATTTGCCCCTACTCCTTCCTGCTTGAAAGGATGATGTGAAACATGGTGATAATGGCCGGTGCTAGTGCAGCCATTTTGCACTCCTGAGGGGGAAAGGTCAAGCAAATCAGAGACAGACCCAGTGGCCAGGCGGTATTGAGCTGCGAAATATCCCTGGAAAGGCCTTCCACTAGATGTCTTGCTCCAGAAGAGAATTAAAAGCCTTGACTAACTAAGGTTAAACAAACACTTAGTCTATAACCCAGCAATTCCAGTCCGAGGCATTGACTAAGTGGATGTAAAAAGTATGTCTACAAAAACATCTGTACAAAAATTTTCCTAGCAGCCTTATTAACAAAAGCCCCAAATTGGAAACAGCACAGATGCCTGTTGACTGGTAGCTGGATAAACAAACTGTGTTATAACCATGCAACGGAATGGAGCTTAATAACGAAAGAGAATAAACCACTGATACAGGCAAAGTCGTAGATGAATCTCAAATCCACCATGCTAAGCAAAGGAAGCCAAGCACAAAAGATGACCCACTGTGTGATCCTCCGTAAGTCTCGTTCTAGTGAAACTGACAGGAAAAAGATCGGCATGTAGTTGCCTCAAGTGGGTGGGATGAAGGGTAGAGGGCTAAGTACTGACCGGGAAGATCCACAAGGAAATCTTCTGGGATGACGCAAATGGTCTATAGCTAGATCTGAGTGATGGTTTCCTAGGTAATATTTGCCAAAATTCATCAAGCAGTGCATGTAAGATTTGTACATTTTATTATATCTAATTTGTATCCCAGTAAAGCACAACTAGTGTGTTAAAATAATAAAGCCTACACAATCAATTCTTGTTACTTGTGGTAGTTACATTTTACAGAGGTGCCACAAACACTGAATTAGAGAACAAGGAACTATCGCTCCAGAGAGAAATACAGGTTCTTATGAGCCTCTGGTCCCAACATTTTCATCAGCCGATCAATACATAACCTTGTTTTTACGAGTGTTCCTGTTTAAAGACACCTGATTTAATACATACTGCTGATTCATTCGCAGTGAACTCATAACCAGCGCCACTGTACCGCACCTGAACAAAGCTCATCTGAGACACATCGCAGACCTCTAGAGCTTAGGACCACAAGCCGACACTTCTGCATGATGCTTGGGGCGTTTCAGTGAAATGCATCACCAGTGAAAAGCCCCCGAGTGTGAAAAACGTGGCACTAAATAGACCAAGAGAAAGCCACTTGTCTGCAACGGAAGAGCTGAAACAAGAAGACAGAGTGTCGCCGCGGTCTATCTCAGCCAGGAACAGGCACACGGGGACAACTCAAGACTTTCATCTGCTCTGCACATGTCTGCAAACGATCAGGAAAGCATCATGAGTGCTGACTTGGGGCTTACAAAGAAATTTCAGCAGGTAGATGGATTCGCAAAAACGACATGAGGGAACAAGAATCGACCATGTAGGGAAATAATTATCAGGATTATAACACATTTACTCTTTACCCGGAGATGTCCCTCATGGGCCTGATCCTCTAGTAAAACCTGATGAACTTGGATGGGGGACCCGCAGATGGGGACAAATGGGAGGGAGACATTCTGCTGCGAATTTTTCAGAAATAGTATTTGGTTTTTCAGCCAATGTCCTAATCATTCCAAAAATGCAAATATTAAAAACTGGGTTAGGGACTTCCCTGATGGTCCAGTGGTTAAAAATCTGCCTTGCATTGGGACGTGGGTTCCATCCCTGGTCGGGGAACTAAGATCCCAAATGCTACAGAGCAAATAAGCCCGCACACAACTACAGAAACTCGAGAGCCACTGCTGGAGTCTGGATGAAAGGTCCTGCAAGACGCGACCAAGAACCCACGTGCCTCAACGAAGACCCAGCAGCAGTTAAATAAATAAATAAAAAGACTGTTACAGAAATAAATTAAAAATGGGTTAAAAAAACAACGAGGGGAATGTTCCCACCACGGCTCATCAGATCAACTGTTACTTGCAGCCAAACGCACACAAACTAAAAGCTATCCAGTGGTAAAAGCAAGTGCTGGGATTTGAACCCAGATTCTGTGGAAGCCTTGGACTGCCTTCCAGGACACAGCCCTGCCCCATTTCCAGTGCCTGTGAAAATTCCGGGAATCCGGCCATCTGCTGGCATGACCTCCCTTCCCTTCCCCAGCAGAAACTCTTTTCTCCCTGAACTTGGAGGGAGCCTTCCTAATCNTTCCTTACCACTAGCGCCACCTGAGAAGCCCACTCATAGGCAGCATGGTTCCTCTAGGCCTGTCTGTGCTCACCAGCTGGAAGGCTGAAGGGGAGTTGTGAACCGGCCTCAGCCTCCTGCTTCCTCTCAAGTCCCTTCTCAACTCAGCTCCCCACTCCAGGGCCAACAAGATGAGTGCCCTGAGAGGTCACATGGTTTCCCCTTCTCAGGACGCTCTGTGCTGGGGAGAGAGCAAAAAGGACAACGGAGAAAAGCAAGGATGCAGGAGAAAGGTGATGCGCTGGGGGGAGGGTGTGTGGCTGGGGGCGCGTTTTTAGTGGTCAGGGTGTCCACATGAGGAAGGGAGTCTGAGCTGATGCGCAGAAGATAAGCAGCGAGTTAGGCGAATGGGGAAGGGCGTTCTGGGCAGAAGGCAGAGCAGATGCAAAGGTCCTGTGGCAGGGATGTGCTGGGGACGCTTAAGCAACCGCAAGGCGCTGAAGCGGGGTCAAGGAAGTGGGGTCAGACAGGCGATGAGGACAAGCCACAGAGGACTTGGGGTTTTATTCTGCGTGAGTCCAGGGAAGTGACCGGACTTGGGCTTTCACAGGATCCTTCTGGCTGCTGAGTGGAGAGTGGATTGCAAGAGGGGAGGATGGGAGTAGGGAGCCCAGAGAGGAGAGAATGGTGACAGGTCCAAGTGTCAATCACCCAGACGTCTCTGACTCTCTGCAACCCCAGGGACTGTAGCCCGCCAGGCTCACACGCCCTCTTGTATCAGCTCTCTTGGTTGACCTAGCACCTTCCAGTTAAGGCCATTTCTCGTTAAGGTATTCTGATGGTCCCAAAGCTACTAATTATCTTATTAGGGGGGATTGACCTCCCACCTGGGGCAAAAGCAGGCAGAGGTGCTCAGTGTCTAGACAGAGAGGAATAGCTGAGACAAGCAAGACCTCCAAATCTTCCGCACCCAGCAGCTCTCTGTGTATCTCGTTTCAGAGTCTGGCCTTTCCCCAAAGTCTAAACTGAGATTCACAGTTTAGATCCGACTCTGAATCCCTAAACCACCTGGGGGTATATGGTGTGCGTTAGCGTGCTCAGTCGCTCAGTCATGTCCAACTCTTTGCGACCCCGTGGACAGTAGCCCGCCAGGCTCCTCTGTCCATGGGATTCTCCAGGCAAGAATATTGGAGTGGGATGCCATTTCTTTCTTCAAATGGACCCACCCCATTTCCTCTTTTTGCAAATGAGTGAGTAGCCTCTGGTCCCCAGCTTGGCTTACTAAGTCTCTCCTCTGGCCTCACACCAGAGGTCCATACGTGGTCTGGCTCTCGTCCTGGGCTCTGTTCTAGTCCATCGGTAGAATGTCAATTTCAACTTACTCCCTAATCTCAGAGACAAAACGTATTCAGCTGGACAGGCAATCAATCCACGGACTGACATGGCATAGGTTGTGAGGGACAGTCCAGACAGCAAGACGCCTCGGGAGAGCACAAGGTCCCCAAAGCAGAGACTCTGATGTCCCTTTGCTGGACGACACAGCCTTCAGTAAGCTGGCGAATATCACGCTTCCAACCTTTAACAAAACTATCCTCACAGAAAAGAGACAGAAGGCATAAAAAAGTACTCACAAAGAAACCAGGAGATTAAAAATAATCTATGGACACAAAAGGTCACATATCATATGATTCCATTGATATGAAATGTCCAGGTAAATCCATAGAGATAGAAAGCAAATTCCAACCAGTCCATCCTAAAGGAAATCAGTTCTGAATATTCATTGGAAGGACTGATGCTGAAGCTGAAACTCCAATACTTTGGCCACCTGATGCAAAGAACCCATTCACTGAAAAAGTCCCTGATGCTGGGAAAGATTGAAGGCGGGAGGAGAAGGGGATGACAGAGGATGAGATTGTTGCATGGTATCGCTGATGCAAGGGACATGAGTTTGAGTAAACTCCGGGAGTTGGTGATGGACAGGGAGGTCTGGTATGCTGCAGTCCATGGAGTCGCAAAGAGTCGGACACAACTTTGCGACTGAACTGAACTGAGGGGCTGCAGGGATGAGAAATGAGGATAAACTGCTTAATGGACGTAGGGCTTCCTTTTGGGAAAGGGAAATTATCCTAGACAGATGGGAAGGCAGAAAACTAGACAAAGGCTAGTTGAGACAAAGGCTGCTTAACATTATTAGTGTAACTAAAAGCCACTGACTTGTACAGTTTTAATTGGTTCTTTTTTTTTAATTGACATATAGCTGATTTACAATCTTATTAGTTTCAGGTGGACAGCAAAGTGATTCAGTTTTTTATATTTATATAGATTACTTTTCCCCTTATAGGTTATTTCAAAATATTGAGTATTGTTCCCCATGCTGTAGAGGAGGTCCTTGTTGTTAATCTTTAATATATAGTAGTGTGTTTATGTTAATCCCAAACTCCTAATTTATCTCTTCGTCCCCAAGCTGCTAACTTCATGCCATGTGAATATTAACTCAAAAAAAGAAAACAAAGTTAATGTAAATACTAACTAAATATAAAGATGACGGTTCTGTTCCTACTATAAGCTTTTTCTGTGTGTGTATGGTAGTTGTTCAGCTGTATCTGACTCTTTGTGACCACATGAACCGTATGTAGCCTGCCAGGCTCCCCTGTCCATGGAATTCTCCGGGCAAGAATACTGGAGTAGATTGCCATTCCCTTCTCCAGAGAAATCTTCCCAACCCAGAGATCGAACCCAAGTCTCCTGCATTGCAGGCAGATTCTTCAACGTCTGAGCCACCAGGGAAGCCCCGTAAGCTCTTTCTAAACCACGTTAATAATAAAATCAGTGATTTTAGCAGAACTGACAAAAAGTTGACTGAAACTTTAATTATCAAGAACATTATTCAAAATACAGACGTTAGGTTTTTTTGTTTTCAGACTTCAGTTTTTATCATTAGTGATAACTACTGATAAATATAACATTATTTAAAATGTTTGATTTCTAAAAAATCTTCCTTACCTGTTTTATAATAAGCAGGTGACGCTTAAGAGCCTGGACTTTGGAACCAGACCCTCTGGGCTCAAATGCCACCTCTGCCACTTAACTGACCTGTGACCTCAGGCAAGTTACTTCAACCTCCCTGTTTTCTTTCCCTACAGTTTCTTTCCCTGTAAAATAAGATTAAAAGTAGCGCCCACATCAGAGGGTTGTGAGCCCTAAAATGAATGGACGCATGTAAATAGATATGCATAAGGGCACATGCTTACCATTTTTACTGCCAAGACTGCAGACTCAAAAGTTGTTGTGGCCTGGCCAGGCAATCAAGGTCAGCATCAACCTAATAAGTCAAGTTGATTGTACATACCTTTGATGTGATAAGATGGGAAGGGCAAGGGCACTTCCTCTCTGCAGTCTTCTTCCCAAACCCCTAGGCCCTTGTGTAATCGAGGGAATGTTGCTCACGTGTGTCTGACTCTTTGTGATCCCATGGACTGAAGTCAGGCTCCAGGCAAGAATACCAGAGTAGGTAGCTTCTGCAAGAATACTGGAGTAGGTCCCTTCTGCAGGGGACAGTCCCAACCCAGGGATCGAACCTGGGTCTTCCTGCATTGCAGGCAGATTCTTTACCAGCTGAGCCACCAGGGAAGTTCAATCACAAGGAAAAAAAAACATCAGACAAATCCCTAGAGAGGCGCATTCTCCAAAACTCCTGACCAGCAGTCCCCCCAGATGCCAAGGTCACCAAAAGGAAGGAAAGTCTGAGGAACCGTCACAGCCCAGGAGAGGGAGGTCTAAGGAGACAAGAAGGACACATAATGTCATCTATGTAATGGGGTGTCCTGGGTGAAGTCCTGGAAGAAGGACATCAGAGGAAACCTGGGGAAATCGGAATCGGTTCTGAAGTTGGGTTGATAGGAATGCTGCTTTCTTGGCTATGACAAACTTCGACCAGGTCCTATGCCCTCTGTCCCCGATTCTGCCCTGGTTCTCCTACAATCTCACCGCCACATGGCGCCCAAAGGGACCCTGTCTGCTCACGCTGTCCTCTGCTCAGAGCCCTCCTGTGACGCCTGCCTCACTAAAATCTAAGTTCTTCCTGTGACCTTCTGCCCCCATCCCGCTTCTGGCCTCACCTCCCAGCCTCTCTCCCTCCAGCCACACCAGCCTGCTCCACATCCCTGCAAGGCATCAGGCACACGCCTGCCTCCGGACCTTTGCACCAGATCAGAGATGCTCCGCCTGTGGACAGCTGCGGGCCCCACCCCCTCACCCAGCACTTCCACCTCCCTCTGCCCTGCTCTGCTTATCTTCAAAGCTCTGATCGCCATCTCAGTGAGACTGTGATTGATCTTACCTATCGCCTGATCGGCTAGGAGGGGTGAGCGCCAGTTGTTTTGTTCCCGCCGTGTATAACAGGGACTGAACGGACTGAATGACAGAGGGGGACGTTCTCAGGGGTCACAGCTAATGCGGAACAGAGGTGGTGTGTGACCAGGTTTGGGGGAGGGCGTGGTGGCGGGGCGAGCATACAGCCACAGGCAGACCAGGGACCCGTGGGGCTGGGCTTGGAATGGGGGACTGGCCATGGGGATGGGAGCAGGGACCCAGAGGGAACCTGTCAGTGGCAGATGGGAGGGGTGAAAGGTCACGGGTGGGGGAGGGGGAATTGGGCCTCAGCACAGAAAGCTGATCAGAGAAGGAATTGAGCAGAGGGGCTGATGGGGCCAGCGCTACAGACAGCAACTCAGAGAGAGAGAAAGAGGGAGAGAGAGGGGAGGTGGGCGCATCTCTTCAGGACAGGGGGGGCAGGGGGAAATGCTCCACAGGACTCTCCACCCACCCCTGCCCAGCACAGCAACCCAGGAGGCAAAATAATCCAGTCAGTCTACACCAGTGGCTTCTGCCCCAAATGCCAGGAGCCACCCCAATACAGAAGACAACAAAAACTCCAGCAAGTATGCAGAATGTTTGCAGACACTGTCCAGATGAACCCCGTCAAGCTGGTCAAGACACCGTCCGCTGGGGCCAGAAGCTCAGGCAGCTCCATGGACGTCGTGGACAGCTTGCTCACGGGCTCTGTGGAAGAGGACATTTCTCCAACCCGCAGAGCAAAGGATGAAGAGCCACAGCTGCGGCAGGGTCTGCAGGATGGATTTCAATCCTCACCCAGGAAGGAGGATTCTAGAACATGTGATGTGGAGCACACCTCTGTCGAGGGAGGAGAGTCTACAGACAATATCTACCTAGCATCATATGAAGCCAGGGGCTACTCTTAATTCCACCCTTGTGAATAATGGGGCAGATATAGAACATTCTAGAATGTTCACACCACCCTCTAACTAGAAACAACCCAGATGCCCATCAATGGAAAAATGCATGAATATGCTGTGGTTCGTCCACACAATGGAATACTACACAGCAATGAAAAAGGGAACAAACTACTAGTACACGTAACATAGAAGCATCTCACAAACATTATGCTGAAAGAAAACACCCTTGTATGGTTTCATATACAAAGTATACACCCATTCTAACTGTGGAGTTAGAATCAGGATGGTGGCTCCCTGCGGGCAGGGGCCAGGGTGGATGGAGGGACTAGAAAGGTTGGGGCATCTTTTGGGAGGCTTTCCAGGTGGCTCACTGGTAAAGAATCTGCCTGCCAATGCAGGAGAAGGGGGTTCGATCCCTGAGTCAGGAAGATCCTCTGGAGAAAGAACTCGCAACCCACTCTAGGAAATCCCACGGACAGAAGAGCCTGGCAGGCTACAGTCCGTGGGGTTGCAGAGTCGGACATGATTTAGTGACTAAACCACCACCACACCACCATGTTCTGCTGTTTGTTTTTTTAACCTGGGAGCTGGTTACATGGGTGTGTCCAATGTGCAAAAACTCACCCAACTGGGCATTTATAACGGTGATGGCCCAGAGACACAGGGTTTATTTTGGGGGTGATGAAAATGCTCTAAATGGATTACAGTGAGGGTTACACATCTCGGTGAATATACTATA